CCCCCGGGGGGGTGGGGGGGAGGGCGGGAAAGCAGAGCAGCCCCAAGGCGGGTCCTGGCTCCGTAGAGCAGAGCAGAGCAGAGCAGAGCAGAGCGCCCTGCCGTGTGCGGCAAGGACAGGGAGGGCGGGGGGCAGGAGCCCCACACTCATGTGGCAGCTGGGTCAGGAGACGCCATTCACATGTGCCCAGTGCAGCCCTGGCTCGGCCGCTGAACAGACACTTGTGTTTACAGAGAGCGTACATGTGTGTGCATGCACGTGCAATGCACGCTGGGTGTGCACGGGCACATGTGTGCATACAGGGGGAGCATGGGCACACGTATAATGCACACAAGGTATGCACAGGTATGTCTGTGTAGGTGAAAGGGGTGCGGGCACATGTGCAATGTACAGAGGGTATGCATGGGCATGTGTGTAACGCATACAGTGTATGCATGGGCACGCAGGTGCAGGGGGGTGCGGGCCACGGGCATTTGAGTGCATACATGGGTGGAGCATGGGCACGTGTACAATGCACACAAGGTACACACAGGTGCATGTATGCACGCAAGGGGATGCACGCGTGCGTCTCTGTGCCTGGGACGAACCCCAGGGGTGAGTGCTGTGGGTACCCCCCCAGCAGGCAGGGTGCCCCCCGTGCCCCCAGCCTGGCACTCACTTCTGGTCGGTGACGATGTAGCCGTACTCCTCGGGGGGCCGGGTCAGAATCGGGGCCCCGGCGCGCCCTGGCACATCCCCGTAGCTCTTTTTCTCCAGTAGGCCAGGGTGCGGCGAGGGCAGGGCATGGCCTGGCACCGTGGGCAGCCCCGCGGCAGGGGAGGCCGCGGTCTCGGGGGGCGGCAGGGTGGAGGCTGGCGGCTCCAGCTCCTCGCCGTGCTGCATCTCCCCTTCCGTCACCTGAGCCAGGACGTGGGTCACGGGGGCACGATCAGCCACAGCCGCCACCGCTCGTCCCCAGGGCTTGCGGATTCTGCCGACAGCTCGAGCAAGGCCCCGACAGCCCCCAGCCCCGCTGCCCCCCAGCTACACGGCCCAAGAGGCGGGAGGTGCTCCTGGGCATCCCCCCCCGACCCCCGCTTGTCCTGGGGGCACCAGACCAGGGCACGGCCCAGCACAGACTCACCCGCTTCGCGTCCAGGGCCGTGGGGCCAAAGCCACCTGCCAGGGGAGAAAGGCCCCCCTGTGTTGGCTCTGTCGGGACTGAGGGGGCAAGTCCCAGGAAGGGGCAACACCTCCCACCCCCAAGACCGGCCGACTGCCGGGACTAGGACACCCGCTCTCCCCCAGCCCCGTCCCCACCCCGCTCACCCGAGCTCTGGATCAGCTGCAGCAGGGCCGAGAGGGTGCTGACCTGCTCGGGGGTCAGGTCCTGCAGCCCCAGGCCATAGCTGACCAGCACCTTCTGCAGGGCCGCGTCTCCTGGGAGACAGAGTCAGTACCAGGTCTGGCCCCAGGCCCACAGCAAGGGGGGCGAGGGCGGACGGGACCCCCAGCAAAGGGGCGTGGGGCGCAAGGGTGGAGCAGTCCAGCCCGGGGCCGTGGGGAAAGGGCGGTCCCGGTGCCTACCTGGCTCCGTGGGGGGCTTGCGGGGGTCTGGAGCCAGACGCTCCTCCCCAGCACGGTCTCTGCCATCCTGGGGGTGCCCCGGCTCGCGCCAGGGTCCGGTGCGGGCAGGGCCCGGCCGAGTGCCCATCTCTCTGGACAGGTAGAGCATGCCCAGGTCCTGGAAGAGAGGCCCCCCCTCCGGCCCTGCCGGCGCCCCATAGGACGGCACAGGGCTGGCCCCAAAGACAGCGGGGGGTACCGGGCCGGGGGCTCTGCCCAGCAGCGCGGGGGCCTCAGGGCTGCGGCCGGCCGTGTCGCCCGGGAAGGGGCCCAGCGGGCGCAGGGTGTCCTGGTAGCCGAACTGCGAGCCAAGCACAGGGTCAGCGTGGCTGGGAGGGCCCAGAGCCCCCATGCAAGCACCTCGACAAGCACACGCATACGTGCGCATTCACACGCGCATCCATACGTGCACAGAAACACACGTGTGCATCCATGCACAGACACTGGTGCCACAGAGCCCCTTGCTCTGGGGTGGAGGGGGGCTGGCCC